GAGCTTTTCTCTTTTCCTCTCTCTTCCTCTTCGCTGTCGGAGTGAGACGATTCAGAGGAGGACTGATGTGTTTGCTCCGATTCATTGTCCGAGTCGTGATCTACTAGAATAGGGGGATCGTTGGCATTGTTGTTGACTGATATGGTGTATTGAGTTATACTCATGGGTTCGGGAGTGGTTGGTTCTGATATGGTTGGTGAAGCAATTGTTGAATCTATGTCTCTGAGAAACTTTGTCTCCCAAAAGTAGACGTCTCTAGAGTAGTCCATACGAGATTTAGTAAGATTCCATAATCTAACTCCTGCGATACCCCTACCATCCGCTCCATCGTATCCCATAAAAAGACATGGTGTTGATTTCTCTTGTCTTTTTCTGCGTGTGCTACTTGGGATAAGCGGCCAAGCAATACAACCGAAGACTTTGAGATGGGAAATATCGGGTTTCTCAGCAAAGAGGGCTTCGTGTGGTGTTTGTTTTGCAAGCGCATCTGTTGCCAATCGATTGTTGATGTAACAGGCAGTCATAGTAGCTTCACCCCAGAACTCGATAGGCAGACCTGCATGGAATCTCATACTGTCCGAAGCTTCCATAATGGTTCTGTTGTATCTTTCGGCCACACCGTTTTGTTGAGGGGTGTAGGGAGTGGTAACTCGGTGGACCATTCCGTTGAGACGAAGACTTTTGAGCATGGCCTTATTGATGTATTCACCACCATTGTCACTATGAAGACATTTGACTGTTCTTTCGAATTGAGTCTGGACAAGTTTCAACCAGTTTTCGAGTGTTGAGTGAACTTGGCTTTTAGTTTTGATGCAGTAAATCCAAACATATCTTGTGCAGTCATCTATGAAAGTGACAAAATATTTATTTCCTCCTATAGTCGTTTCGTCCATAGGGCCAGCTACATCGGTATGGATGATGTCGAAGGGCTTCTTAGCGCGATGCGGTGACTGCTGTGGAAATGGTGATCTGTGATGTTTGGCGAGAACACACCCCGTACAACTGCAGAGATAAGAGTGAGAAGCGGTGTTTATTTCACTGTTTACAATATGGCTGGTGGCCTTCATGCGGCTGGCTGAAGCATGGCCTAGCCGTGCGTGCCAGATGTTATGGGTTGTTGCAGCAAATGCTGTGACCAATGGTTGAATCTCGATTTCGTAGAGTGGACCATCTCCTTTGATAGAGACACTAGTAAGCGTATTAGACGGATTTAAGGTGACGATTCCACCCGGCTTGAAAACTACGTCCTTCTGACTACTTTCAACAAGCTTTCTAGCGGAGAGAAGATTGCGGTGAAGCCCTGGTACATGGAGTACATCTACGAGATTTATAGGTGCTACTGTATCACTACTTACTACATTCGCGCGAATATGGCCAATTCCAATAGCGTTGATTGTGTGAGATCCAATGCCCATAATGGGGCGGGGAGTGATCGATTGATAAGTGTGAAATAGCATTCGGTTGTCTGTCATATGACTAGTGGCACCAGAATCCATAATCCAAGTGGTAGATCCAGAAGTGGATGTATAGGCGAGCTCGACTGCTGGATATGCTCGGGCCTGTCTATTATCGGGTTTATCGGTTGCAGATTTACCCTGCTCTTGATTTCGTTTGTGAGTTACACATGATGCTAGGTCATGACCGCTAACTTCATGGAGTGTACACCATTTGCTGTCGTCTCTGGGGAGGCGGTTATCGTCACGACCGCGACCTCGACCTCGATCACCTCGACCTCTAGTGAAGTTACGACCACGGCCTCTCCCACGAGATTCAGCAGCTGGATAAGCGCCGTTATCGGTACCTTCATGGGGCTGCGTGGCTTCTCTCAACCGTTCTTCACGCTTAGCCTGGGTGATAATGTGATCAAGTTTGGGTTTGTCCGATGATAGGGCTACACTTTTGAAAGTTTGCATACTTTCGTTGAGGCCATTTATAAAGACAAGAGAGGACATCAGTTGAATGACGGATCCAATATCTTTTTCTTCTAGGGAGCTTACAATATCTATAACATCTCGGTTTAGAGCGACGACCCGTTGGCCGTAAAGGTCAATAGACATGCTGTTTTGTTTTACTCCCATCCATTCTGAGAGCTTCAGAAGCAAGTTGCTACCATCCTTGGGACTATAGAATTCTTTCAGTATGGTCCAGATCTCGTGAGAGTACATACTTTTAGCCGATGCAATACTACTTTTGGTAAGTTCCGTAATACGTGGCATAACGTTCCTATTGTTGCATAGAGCTTTTGATAGGGCAGAGTAAATAATGGCGTCAGCTTCGTCCCATTGAGATTGGGTGATGGTACCACTACTAGCAGATGCTACTTCTGTTGCTGGCCGGAGACTGCTGTTTACAAGTATGCTATAATAGTTCGTATACTTCTTTAGCATTCCATGTATTGTGACTGCAAAGTCGTCATACTTCATTTCGCCTTCGATTCCTTTGAATTCAGGGAAAGATAGAGAGTCCTTCATATTTACTATCGTGGATGTCATCGATGTGGTCTACTCTCCTTGAAAAGT